ATTTTTTCTCAACACCAATGAAAAAAAAAAAAAAAAAAAAGGAGTCTTAAAGCTTTCTACCTGCCTCTTCTTCTTTGTTCAAAACACACTAACCTAAAACAAAAGATCTCTGACAATAGCTACAACGGTGAACAGAGCTCTTTCTAAAGCCTAAAACTTAGCAGCTTTTTGTCTAAAACCCTATCATGTTATGTATTTATTAGCAATATATTTTTCATTTATTTTCTCAAAGATTGCCAATAAAGAACTAAATCACATAAGGGAGTAGCTGTAAACCCTTTGAGTTCCCTAATGTCAAACTCATTAGCATCCGAATAACCACACAGCAGCACATCATCTGCACAATTGCAATTTTTTACTACTTTTAATAGCGTTTCTCAAAGGGCTCATTTTCAACTTTCTTCGGTGGTTAGTTGGTTCTCTGGGGAAAAGGAGCTTCCTGACGCTCACAGCTTCCACTCAACAACCAGGCCGTTTGCTGTCAGAAACATCAGCCCTCTGCCCTAACCCCATCTGCTGTCTCTCTCATCCTAAGGGACTGAGAGTTAAGACAGCACAGCTGAGATCCACTTGGAAAAGTGCACAAAGGACAGGAAAATATACAAAACTTTTCACATTTAACTTTACGTAATAAGCTAATACACTGAAAATCCCCCTTTTAAGAAAAGGAGTCGGGGCTGGGTCGGGGCTGGGGGGCAGGTTTTAAAATTGTATTGGAAAACTACATGCAACAGTGCCATTTGCTATTTTACTCCCATCTGCCTTGCATGAGACCTCATCAGCTATCTTTGTAAAGCAGAGAGTGCTATAGTAGGACAAAAGCAAGACTTTTATATAAAGCACAAAACCTGAACCCCTCTTCTGTGTTTAATCACAACAGAAGTTACTGGTTAGTGAGTTTAAATGTGCTATGTTCTATTTCTTTCACATAACAGGGTGCTGGCTGCCATACAGCTGATTCGTGGGTGAGTACCCACATTTGAAGATATGGTGTTTCATAAAGTGTCTAATACAATGTCATGCATCTGTCATGTGATAAACAGGGTGTGTAGGATTATGCTGCGTCATGGGATGTGACATACCCCTAATGGAATATAAACTATGCATCACCCCGTCCATACTCCAAGAAGCAACTTACATTTCACATATAAATGCTGGGATCTGATACTTCAGGTAGCAAATGAGAGTTAGTGCTGATTTCACAGTAAGATCAAGATCTTATACAATAAGTTCTTGAGAAACACTTTATTTTAGTATATTTTATGAATTATAAAATTAATCATGGGCCAAATTTTGAGGCATTGCAAGAAGTGCAGATAAAAGTCTGCAATGCCAACTGGAAAAATTAAGATCTCAGCCTCAAGAGCCCATAAAGAACATCTACCTAGGTTATTGGCCACTTTGATAAGACTGTTGTTAATGGAAATCAGGTAGAACTAACTTACTTATTTGTCAACCAAGGTTCTTTGGTGGGATCACTCCCCTTAAGACCACACATACCTTCATTTGGCCCAGTCTATTCATAGCTTGCATTAACTCATTTGTCTGTTTTAATAAAGAATTCAAAAGGATTTACAGACAGCAAATTATGCCTACCCTTCAACTCCTTATGTGTCTGAACAGAATTTTTTAATCCTGAAGGTGAAGTTTGCCTGCCTACACAGAAAACCTTCACCCTTTTCAACCAGCACCTCAATTCAGCTAGAATAATAAACTTTATAAACCCACAAAGATGGAATAAATGAATTGCTTGATTTGTCAATGTAATGGCTCAGTGAAGTCACCTGGAACCTTTGCAATTCATTCTTTGGTTTATAGCTATTTCCAGTGCAACACAATTTTGTACTGACTCTGAAGTGCCATCCTACTGAGATCCATGAGTCATACCAGGATACTGATGTGAATCACCATTTGGGCCCTGATCCTCAACATCAGATGGGTGTGACAAATCCCTTCAAGCAATCATTCTTGTTGACCCATTGTCTATGGGTAAAAGTCCACTCATTCAGGTCAGATTAGTAGGGAGTTCCTGAGGATTTAATAATGAGAAAAGACATATTCTACAGCCAAAAATTGTCTCACCAGAAGTCTGAAGTTGTTTTCTCTGTCAGAATTGCAGTACACAAAGCTGTACCACATCTGTAAAAGACTCCAACAACTTTTTTGAGCATAATGGATATAATTTCCAACAGATTAATTTGATTTTCTCTCATTTACCACATCACTAGTTGATATATTGCAAGTATGAAAATGAACAAACACAACAGTTTGTGATTAGTTAACTCAGAATGGAAGTAATGGCTAAGGAAACAAAATCCAGTGTGCTCACCATTATGGTCCCTGAACATTTTTCGTGTTTCTACAGTGACAGTGATTTCTCTTTCTCAAGATAAAATAATGTAACATATTTAGTATTTGAGAAAAAATATGTGAAAGCAAAAGATGCCATTACAAATGAATGAAGATATATTGAGCTCTTGACTGCAGTCAGATCTTTATCCTGCACAGGCTGAAGTACATAACTTTACACACTAAGTTCTGCACAAACTTATGGGTCACGTCAGAGACCCTTAAGGGCATGTGTAATGTTCAGCACATGAGTAAACAAATGAATTTCATTTGGCCTTCTGATGCTTCGCTTTAACATCCTCACTGCAGTACACATGGGCAGTCTTGGAAATCTGAAGAAGTCTACATGGAAACATCATTTTTATATAATCTGAGCTTCAGAAAGGAATTTCCTTGGGGCAGAGTACTCCTCTTTGCACTTGTTTTATGTGCAGAGTACACATGAAACAGAATTATTGCTGCTTCAGCTATTACATTTTCTTTCCCAACTATAAGGCTAAACTTTATCTTACTTAGTTCTACCCTGAGATGAACAGGAGGTCACATTACCAGTGCAAGACAGCCTGGTAACACAGGCAGTTGTTCTTGCAGTACCTGTAAAAACACATCCCTTGCACTCATCCTGTCTTTTAAACACGGCAGTAATTCCAATGCCATGTGCAAGATCATATTTCGCCTAGCAGAAGGGTTTAGCTTTCACCTGATTTAAGCAACAAACTATCCCTCAAAGATGCCTGAGGCTTTCCTGTAATTAACATAACTGCATTTAGATGCTATTCATGACCGATAACTCCAACACCTTGTGAAAAAAAAAAAAAAAAAAAAGGTTGCATGCTGTAAACATTATAAACATATTCAAATAAGCTTAACACAATCTGCCATGCTTATTTCTGCCTAGATCATGGACCAGCGAAATGGTTAATGCAAATGGATTTATAATTTGCTTTGGGGGGCCAGTTTCTTCTCCTTATTTATTAGCCCAGCTGATGGGGCAGATTTGATGAGGCACTTCTGGAATAATTGAGTCATCACACAAAGAAGGCTGCTAGCATTCAGAGTGGTTTTATCAGCAGCAAGCAGGCCTGATTACTGACAATTACACTCTGATCCGGTGATGGAGGAGAAAGAGCCAACGAGTGGGAAATGTCCGTGTTTCTATCCAGGAATAATTTCTACATTCATTTTACATGCTAAGTGTTTCCTATCTCTGCATAATAAACTGTAAACAGGAATAGATGGCACAATGTCCCTTAATATTTCCTGGTAATGAAGACACAAATGTACAGTGAGTGCTGATAAATATAGATGAAACATAAGCTATT